TCAGTGGCCTATTAAACAAGATATAACAAGTAATAAAGCGTTTCTCTCGTGGCAAATTGTTCGTTTCAAATTTGTGAAAGAAGTGAGATGTTATTGGGGAGATTTTGATGTTGTATTTTTTTTTTTTAGTAAAGAACTGTTACTATATTATAAGTAATTTGTCGCGTTGCTACTATAGTTTCTCGCCCATTCATTTTTATATCAACTATGGATCAATTTTAATGATTATTTTTTATCCAACCAAATTTTTTTTATTTTGGACCAAAATTCTGTTAGTGACGTAGAAATATTTATTTGTTTGACAAATGATTTCACGTTTTAATTTTTAATATGGAATATGAACTTAATTTTAAAATTTATTTAAATAAGAATAGTAATATTACAAGATTAATTTATTAACAGTCCATGGTACTGCTCATGTCTATAGGCGACGGTTACCACTTTCCATCAGGTGGGCCGTCAGCTTGTTTGCCATTCTAAGTTGTATAAAAAAAAGTAATGAGCGCTATTTTTATTTATGTAGAAATATAGTTGTTTACCGCAGTAAGTAGGTATGTCTCGGCAAGAATACGATTACCTAGATAATATACTAAATACAAGTAATTGTGAACAAACATTTTCACTGTTTTCGGAACTTTCTCAACAATCATTGCCTATGCAAAAATAGACGTGTCCATTGACTGTATGGAGGTAGTTTATTATCATAACAAATGCAGGTAGCAAGGTCGCAAAATAGTGATGTGACCCGACCGGTTGTGGGATGACTAACGTCTCAGATACGCAAAGTAGGTACGATGTCGACGCACCTTTATTTACTATACCGCTACAAGGAGCGTTAGATAAAAAAAATGTAAACAATCTCCGTTCCACAGTTTTTTTTTTCAGACTTTAAAAGTAGTTGTAAATTAAAAAAAAAATCCGTGTAATAAATCAGTATCGAAATAATTTGAACTATTGTTAACCGATTTCAAACTATAGGAGGTTCACAAATCGATTATGTCTTACTTAACCAACTTCAAAAAAGGCGGAGTTTCAATATTCGACTATATAATATTTTTTTATATATGCCCATCGATTTCTTCCATCAATTGTGGAACAAATCTGAAAATTCTTTTTTTTAAAGTTTACCATAATTCATCAAAATACCACTATAGACTACTCAACCTTAAGTCTAACAAAAAACAGCCTGCATCAACATTTCACCTGCTTTTAAAAACGTGATTTAGAAATTAAAATCCGACTGTAAATTGCTAAAATAAGTAAACACAGAATTACCGAATATGTGATAATTGGAGGTGCAGCAATTGTAGGTTGTTACGTAACACATTTCTAATATTGAGTTTAAATATTTAACCACCCGACAGATTTTATATACTTGAAAAGTGCAAATTAATACATTTCAGTTACAATATTTATATATTAGCTAAATAACGGATTTATTAGATATCGCTTATATATAATAACGAAATGAAGAACTCCACCTAAATGAATATAAATGTCCGACTGCTATGGGCGATATCCAATTGAGTGATGACCTTTTTTCGCTCTCAATGTGTAAACTAATATATAGGTATCGAATTGATATCGATATTACCCATGCCTGATATGCCTGATGCCAAACCTGATATTGTATTTGTCAGCTATTAACTGTGCACTGCTGAACGTAGCCTCCCTCACAAGGGGGGTGTTGCCAGTAGTTGCCACGCTAGGCAGGCGGATTGGCAACCGCAGTTTGGCTTTTGGTGATGTTTTTAGAGGAACGTCGCTGCCTATCCCTCCACTATAAGCTTCCTTAGTCACATGTTACAACACCCGGTACGAGAGGGGTAGGAGTGACCTAATCTATGCCGGGACCTACACGGATTTACCTGACATATAAAGTATTAATTTTTTAATTAAATATGAAGTCATACTTAGTAGTCTTGATTTATTTCTTCGAGTACAACGTTGTCTGATCTAGTATCGATTCCGAAAGTGACTATTCACACGCATGTCGAGGCCAAAGTTGACCAAATTGGTCATGGCCAGCGCACAGATTTGTTTGGATTGGCGAGCAAAAAGTTTCAATGAAAATCCACAGGCGCGTTTAGCTTACGAAATTAATGTTATGCTAAAATATAACGTATTATTTTGAGTAATCACGTATTACCGATTTGAATAATTGTATAGTTTGAATTCTTAACTTCGATTTTTGTGTTTCGTGAAATAAATGATAAATTACATAGAAAATTTCATTGAAACTAGATAGAGTCCTGAGAATGACGATAGCTACAATATATATATTCCTATATTGTATAATGCAAATAAAGTATACTCATTCATTCGTTCATATATAAATCAATTTGGAGTCATACAATTTTCACTATTATAATATATTTATTAAACGAAGATGACATTAGAGTAGGTAGATTTTACAGTTACCTGAGTAATACTTTCTGTATTACTCATCCATAGTTCTCTTGTGCTGCTTTCCAGAAGACCAAATTGTTATGCCTGTTGTTATGTATGCTTACTTAGCAATTTCATTACCATATTCCCTTCAAATAGTCATGCAAGCATAGCTTGGCGGCTGTATCGAGTGTAATATGTGAAAATGATTTTGTACAAAGTCACTCTCTAGTATTGATAATTACGTTAGGACATATAAAAAGAATCCATACATCTCTAATATAAAAATAAATATTTCAATAAAGAGTATAAAACTACAAAAGCGATCTAACAAAATACAGAATTTATTCTGTATTAAAATTCTTGTTATATGATCCGTTATGAGATCTGGGAATCAGTATTCGTATATTGCAATTTGCGCGAACGAAACTATGAAGTTACCTTAAAAAAATGTATATGCCAATAGTATATTTTATTGGTATTTGAGATTTTATAGACTCATAATATATTATGTACGTTTGAAAGGTCGGAATTTCAAGTGTTTGCTAAAATAGAACACTTGGTTCTTGGTTTCATTTTATTTTTTATTGCCATCAATGTTATTTATTACGTTTCAGTTCTCTGTGTTTAAGAAACGAAACACTCGAGTTGTGGAGTTAAAGTTTATCTGTCTGTCAGCTGCTGCAATCTATCTAAAAGTGTTGTTGATAAAATCTGTAAAAATTACAATTTATTTTATGGTAAGTATAAAGTAGTCATTATGCCCCACAGCTCCCCTATTTTGTATAACAATATCTGAATCATGTGAATTAAGTATGCAAATAACTGTGTTTATGTTTTAACACAAGGAAAATAAGTTTACTACAATTTATTCTATAAAGTACCTACACGTTAAATGACATCACTCACATGGTCAGTAGTGCGATCACGATTAGTATGTCATGGGTGACTATGAAGTAATAATCTCCGTCTCAGGAGATTGGTAATGGCGTGAGTATTGTGAATATTTCAAACCTAATTACCTAATAGTGACTCGGCGGAGCTAATTCTTGAGCTATTCTTTATTTGACGTAAAGAAGATTATTCTAAAGTGACCTTAAGAAATAGGAAGATCTTGATTTCACGATATTTGTCGTGCATATCATTTATTTATTAAACTTTAATGCACCTAGATAGAGTAAATGGCGGACTTAACACCACATGGCGTTATCTACAAGTCGATCATAGACAAGAAAAATAAAAAATATAATTGATGTTGCAACATGATGAGCAAATATGTGTTATATTCCTCAATTCTGAACAGAATTTGAAGATTCTTTTTCTGGTCAATAGGTTTACTCACGTGTAGGTTCCATGTAAATTGTTATAATTGTACACGATTTTTCATACGATAAAATCTTGGAATGAAAATGAAAAAAGTGTAGCAAAATTATAAAATAATCAGTCATTGCTATGAACTGAGACATAGACAAGCTGATACATATAAGTACAAATATACTTCTGTATGTTCAGATAGAGTACATACAAAAGTATTTAGGAGTGTAGCAAAGGATAATTAGTTTTGCTAACATTTTCTACAAAACAGAAACTTAGATGTGACTAACTATTGTCATTAGATGGAATTTCGAAAGAATATTGTTTAGGACAAAGTTACTTCGATTTCATAGTAAAGTCGGATCGATAGGACTCTAGCCGTATAGAGGCGTAGACAAGAAAGAAATAGGGCTAAAAAGATATTACTGTCATAATTAAAACGTATTCTTTTATTAAAAGTTAATTGCAAATATTCTATCTACATATTATTTGTGAGGAATGCTTGCTAATTTTAATTCTAAACGCATAGGAATGTACCGATTTTTTTTTCTAATTGCTCATTCGTTCTTTATTTGCTCACAATTTATTGTTGTTAAGGGCGCCTTTTGTTATCTTATCTGAAAGTTATTCGGTATTGGAGCTCTATTATGAGCATGACTGTCTCAATGTGGTCGTTAACAATAGATCTTGTTATTTAGAGGGTTGAAAGTTGTAGATAACTCTCTTTGTAGTTGTCGGAATGTAATCAATTATTACGTACAGGCTCAGATAGAATTACAGTTACGCCCACTCTCGTTACGGATATGGTGCGCTAACATAATGCATAGCGACATTGTGCAGATGTACGCACTTTCACCTCCGTCCTTTGCGAATAGATTGCGTGTGAATACGGCCGCGTGTCGTAATGGCCCTCTGGGGGCAGAGCGGGACCGGCCCCTCTAATTTATTACGTATCTAGTTAACGGGTTCCTATTATGTTTATGCAGTTCGACATCGACATTGACGGACTTTTTATGTAAAATTGATTTGCCGGGAGCCGCTGCTATTCTATCTGGGTGATTAACTATCGTGGTTTGTACGGTGACACGTACCGCTAGCGTACGTGATATCATCCCGGCTTTCGCCACCGTTGGGCCCGTTAGGTGGGAATGTGTGTGAATTTTGAACGTGTGATAAGATTCTCATACGGTCCTTAGAAACAGGGTCGCGCGGTGCGCGGGGGTCGTCGGCCGGCATCGATCGCGCTGTTTGTAAACATTGTACTGGTCGCGATTCTAAAGAAAGATAATGTAACTCACCTGTACGGTCTGCGCGCTTTCTTTGTCCAGCAGGAACTCCATGGACTTGTGAGGGCGAGGAGTACGCTGCTCTGGCGGCGCGAGCGCGAGCAGAGAGCGCGCGTGCAGCACGGTACGCTGCGTGTCGACGTCGGTCTCCAGCACGCCGGGCGCCGGAGCGGGCGGCGGGCGCGGCCGCGGAGGCTTGTGCGCCACACCGCCCGCCACGGGGGGTGCCGCCGCCCGCGACACACCCTCCTCCTTCAGCGGGATACGCACATACTGCGGCCCGGCGGCCGCCCCGCGCGGTCCCTGCCCCGCATCTGACGCCGGTAACGCGCCGGGAGCCGGTCGAGAGTTCGCGCCTGCGCTCCTGGTTTTTTTCTCCTTTCGTCCAGAAAATCGGAAGTTCGCGAACCGCGATAGGAAACCGGCGATGCGGCTGCGCGGCGCGCGCGCGCCCGCATCCGTCATGTCGGCGGCGCGCTCTGCGGCCGGCGCGCGCGACTCCTCGCCTCCCCCCTCCACAAACACTACCTCTGCGTCGTTTGCATCGTCGCTTGAAGTTGTCTCGCTCTCTGTAGTAGTCGTGCTTGTTTCCCGCCAACTTACTTCGGCCACTACAGGAGAGAATGTTACACCCTTTGATCCTGTAGATATTGAACGTGCCGGTGGTGGCGCGCCGAGCGGTGGTGGACCCACTAATTGTAATGAGGCTCTGAGTTCTTCTGGAGTTTCGCGATGTGGGGTAGCGCGTGCACGCAATTCCGGAGTAGATCTAACTCGAGCATCTCCCGATCTTAATGGCGTCGAACTGAAAACGGGTTCTCGAATCGGATCTGGTGAAGGGGTTCGAGGGGGTGATGGTGTCGCAGATTGTGGATCGAGGCGTCGTCGCAACTCGTCGAGCACGTCGTCCCACGCACCCCACGAGTCTTGTAATCGTGTAGTTGTAAGGACAGAAAGGCCACGTTCGAAATCACCAGTTTCAGCAAGGGCTCGTCGCGCTGTCTCATCGAGTCGTCTAGCCGTCGTCTCCATCTCGCGTGCGAAGGCGCGCTCCGACTCCGTTGTTGAGTCGCTGCCAGCGCTCGGTTCGCGGATTGGCGACGCAGTGCATTGCCGTGTAACCACATCGACGGGTGGCGGCGGCGGCGGTGGTAAACGCGGCGCACGCGGCGGCGGCGGCGGCGGCGGCGGCGGTGGTAGGCGCGGGCGGCGCGGGCCGCCGCGATAGTCCAACGCAGTCAGGTCGGCCACGCTGACAGTAAGGCTATCGGTAACTTCGAAGGTTTGTCGGAAATGCGCTCGATGCACAATGTGGCGTCGCGGTTCCGCACATACGTCGAGTTCGGCAGGTAACGAAAGAGCGCGCGCGGCACGAGGCGGACGGCGTTCGGCACTGGGTGATGCTGCAAGGCAGGGCGCGCTGCCGGCCGCGGGCGGCCGGTGCGCTATTTCGGGCGGGCGGCGCTGCGAGGGCGGTGGCGGTCGCCGCGATCGCTCACTGTATCCGCTGTCTTCGCTTAAATTTTCTGCTGAGAGATGAGTCCGCTGTGCTGGAGCACGCGCGGGCGGTGGGGAGGCGGGGGGTGACTCCAAGGAGTCTGGCGAGAGGCTAGGCGAGGCGGGTGCTGCACAGGAACGCTCCAGTGACTCGAACTGCGCGAGGCTTGATGAGCGCGAAAGTGATCCAGAGCTAGTCGGTGATGCAGCGCGCTCCCGTCGCCTTCGTTTAGCCGGGCAAGCCCACTCCCGTTCCGACTCACTGTCTTCCGAACCTAATAAATAAAATATATTTTAATAACACTGAGATATCTTACAGAATCAAATAAGATACGTCGTCTCGTCTCACAATGACGTTGGTAATGACAGTGAGACAGTAACACAGAATTGTATTGCTTGGTAGTAGGTATAGACGTAGTAGGATCAGTTGGATAACGGCCAAGAGATTTTGTCTAGCCTAGAAGATTTGAATTATAATAAAATTCGAATGTGACAGTCTAAGTTGAAATCAATATTTATAATTCGAGGAATAAAGTAGTATATACTATTGCATACAATAAAATTTAAATTATTCCATGAAATTATTAAAATAGACTATTAATATAAATGTCTTAATTACTAAGGAGGTAGAATAAATTGTAAGTATTAATCATAATCATTTGTATGCTTGTGTAATTATTAGAAACAGCGCCATCTATAAAGTAAGTATTGCATTACATGATTATTATTAGCACAGCTAAACACGGCAAGCACGAATAATTTTTCTTATGAGAGGGGCAAGGGGTGACGCTAAAAACATTTTAACTTTTGTGTCTTTCTATCACTCTTAGTCTTTACATTAAACCAATTACCTTTTGTACCAATTACCAATTAATTTATTACCTTTGACATTAAACCAATGTTATATTAAATATATTACTAAATTTATACATTTAAATCAATAATTTGTAAAACGCAATTTATTGATTTGTTTCAGTAAATATATTATATGAATACAGCGCCATCTATTAAGCATCTGCATTATTACTACTTAGTAGATACTACTGATGGTATACAGTGATTGTATGTTGGTTCAGCTATTTCATAATAGATGGCAGTAACGGACAAAATTTTTTACTATAAATAATACAAAATTTAATATTTCAGTATAATTAAAATCATGGCTTACTATAATATATTAAATAAACACTACATACCTGCAGGTCCTCGTACATGTATGACGGAGTCTGCATCTGAATCGGAAAGCCAAGTGGCGGCGGAGGAACGTTCAGAGCGTAAGTCATCGCTGGTTTCTTCCACTATCGTTTCGAGGTACAAAGCATGGGTGCTGCCATTGTCACCTGTAGACAAAAAAATGCAAATTAATTAGTAATTTTATTTTATGTAAAAAAGAAGATGGTAAAGCTGCTTATAGCGCATCACATTTCTGAGGACTACCTGCCTATAACCGTAGTAGAATCATGATTTATCTAAAGAAATAAAATAACTTTTGTGTAGAATTACTAAAATCTGCCCCATACTTAATAACTTCAGTGCCATAAACCATCTTTATATTATACTATATCGTAAAGCAACATCTACCTGACAAAGTGCATGCTACTCTCCGATAGAGCCGCCATTACAATTATTTAAAAGTTATCACTCCAAATTGCTTTTAATTTGATAATTAAATGTTTCAAACATTTAAAGTAAATAATACTAATCACGTTTAATTTGTTAAATGGATTTTAATTAAGTAAATAAGTCTAAGGAGTTACATTAGTAATAATTAAATTTTTTAATCTTGTGAAGTTGTGAGTTAAAGCAAAGCTAATCAGTGATAAAATACAATAACATACATACATTCATCGTAAATAGTTATAGCATATGCATAATATATTTGATGAATAAAAATTATCAATCATCGAAAATTTTAATTTATACTCTGATAATTGGTATCATATCCTAAAAAATTTTATCTAAATAATTTATCGTTTTTGTTTTTTTTTTTTTTATTTAAATGGATGATAATGGAATGGTAACCTTGCCTGCGATAACGGTACACGCTGGCGGGACACCAGTGAGGGATAGTAGGTGAGGATAAAAAAAGCAGGTCAAACCTCTGTCCGACCTGGTTGAGTATAATGTTAACAATTCGTCCCCCAATAATCGTTAGATGCCTGTAAAGCAGTTGTGTTTGTATCATGGCTGTGTTTCAGTTTAAATAATGGGATATGGCAGTGAATTTACTGAGTACAGAGGAACAACACCTTAGTCCTCAGGAATGGCAACGCATGGGGGATATCATGGGCGGAACAGTATACTCTGTTATGTCCATGGTACTGCTCTTGTCTATAGGCAACGGTTACCACTTTCCATCAGGTGGACCGTCAGATTGTTTGTTATTCTATGTTAAAAAAACCTATGTTTATGCAAATAAATGACTGACTTGACTAGCCAAAAATATATTAAAATGAGCCCATTCCAAGATCTAGGGCTGTATCAGCTCTTATTATCAAATAGTTGGGCACAACAAACCGTACTATATCCGTATATTTGCGTCCAGACAGTTTTTGTCGGCCTCGAGACGTCAGTGATCATAAATCAGAGTACCTATTCACTAGTGTAGGAAGTGACAACGGTTTGCGTACGCGCAAGATATAGTTTACTACATTGTATTTACATATATAACAAGCATCATGATTTGTAAATTTTATAATATTACTAGCTGACTCCACAAACGTTGTTTTACCATATACATTATTTCTAGAACTATACATGGAAATTTATCGTACTACAATTATTGTATTCGATTGTCGTCTTGCAACCTTATTGAGGCATATAAAAATCGTGATTAAAAAACAGGGCTTGATCGTAAAAGCGTGAAAATTTGAATTTGTATGTATTTTTCAATGCTAAATCATAATAAATAAAAATAAAAAAAATTGTCAAAAAAATTAAAGAAAATAGTTAGGGGTCACCTTTATCATTGAGGGGTATGAAAAATAAATGTTGGCCGATTCTCAGACCTACCCGATATGCACACAAAATTTCATAAAAATTGGTAAAGCCGTTTTGGAGGAGTTTGGTAACAAACACCGTGACACGAGAATTTTATATATTAGATTAGAGATTATATAGTATTTTCTTCACTATCTTGTGTGCGTAAATTTCATATATAGAAAAACTAATAAAAATGACCATATCTAGATGGTGTCTCAAGATAAAACATACACCAACTAGTGGGGTTAATCTTGGAATAAATTCCAGTAGATCTATATCAGAATTGTAACTTTTTACACTCTCAAATTGCAATACTAGCGACCTAATGGTTCCATACTCTTCTCATAGATGCATATTAATGCAAATTGCTAATACAAACTATTGTAAACCGACCCCAATTTTAACTTAATTCCTTATTGTTATTTCATGAGTGCAGTAAAAAATTGTCAATGACATTAGATTAGATAGACATCGATGTTAAATTCAAGAGTAGGCTTGCAGTTTTTTATAAAGCTTTCTGGAATACAACCGGGAAAATTGCATCCAACTTGGTACAGTAGATTTTGCGTGATGCCAGAGCAAACGTATAGGCGGACAAAATTTCTAAAAATGTCATAATATCCTTATGACATCTAATAATTAATAAAACACATAATAATTGTTCTTAAATATCTCCCATATACATAAATGATACAGTTACAATTTCATTATATTAGTAATATATGTAATATTTGTTTATCCGGGGAACATAGTTTTGCTCTTACCGCCAACTACCGGGTCCTTTTTTGTCAGGATACAAAACTATTCTTTTTTTTGGGTTTTTTTTTATAATACCTAGTGGTAAAGATACATAACGCAAAGGTCATTAGTTCAAACTTGACACCATAAATCTTGAATACCGTTAACAAACCAAATCAAACTGAGTGGCGAAGGTAAATTCTAATTTTACTAAGGCTCTCACCAAAATTTCTTTTCAAACACACGTAATTCCAGATACTTACATAGTAAATATATTAAGGCGAAATATAAAGCTTTCGGTTTACACTCAAACGAGTGTATTGTAAAATAAAATACAATGTATTATATATATATATATATATATATATATATATATATATATATATATATATATATATATATATATATATATATATATATATTACGATTGACAACCCTGAGGCACCTGAGGTAAACACCTCTCTCTCTCATGAACGCTAGTGATGCGTGCGGTCAGAGAAAAATACCTTTTAATTATCAGCATTAGATCATAATTTTAAAATAAAAAAAAAAATACATTAATTTTTTATTAACCATAATTATAATTATTACGTGACTTTGTTACATCATTGACTTTTATGATGTTTCTCTAAGCACAGCTCTCTCTATTGGGTGTTAAACTCAAATTAGGGGGAAGGGATTGTTACTAACAATGCGGAGTAATAGTGTCATCGCTTGCAATATATTCTGACAGGTCGACCTCCACGTGGAAACCATCCTGCTGAATTCCAAGTGGGCTAAACTGACTTTTCATTCTCACCTATCTCACAGCCTTCACTGGTGCCCCGCCAGCGTATACCGTAAGCGCAAGTGAGGTTTATATTTCATTATCATCCATTAAAAAAAAAAAAAACTCAAATTAACGGGGAATAGCGGGACACACTGGCAATATATCCTGAATGAATTGGAATTCATCACACGGCCAGTTATTCTGTAAATTCAAACTCCAATTTCATTAGCGGATCCGCGAGCGATTTGCATTTAGTATTCTATAAACAAGTACCTAAGGTCGATGACAGCAGCATTTCATTAAAATGGCGGTGTAGTGACCTGGGGTAAACGTGCTACTATCCTTAGGAACTCACTTTAGTTTTAAAAAATCATTTTACCTCACTCGTCATTCCTAAAACTTCCTGAGGACCTCTCTGGATTCTGGGATGCCATTTCTTTAACTTATTTCTTAACCTAACATTTTAAATTAATAATTACTATTTTATAGACCATCATAGACTAAACTTATGATAATTTTGAATTAAACCTATTAGGCATGTTTAATATAGATACTGATTCGATATCTATATATTGAGTTCTTCTGGACATGAATGGCGGGAAAAAGGTCATCGTCCATTTTGATATCGCTCATATCGTTCCATATCCCAACCGTGAAGCAGTTGTGTTTGCATTGCTGTGTTTCGGTTTGAAGGGTGGGATATGGCAGAGAATTAACAAGGTACAGAGGAATAATATTTTACCTGAGTCCTCAGGAATGGCAACGCATGGGGGGTATCATGGGCGAAACAGTATACTCTGTTATGTCTATGGTACTGCTTATGTCTATAGGCGACGGTTACCACTTTCCATCAGGTGGACCGTCAGTTTGTTTGCCATTCTAAGTTGTATAAAAAAAAATATATCGGTAGGGTATCTATTTTCGAATATGTTAAAAATCTGTTATCAAATATTATTTTTTGCATAACAGACTATATAACATATCGTTATTGGATCAGTATATAGGTATCGTAACTAAAATATACAGATATTACTATATATTATTCACTAAAAGCTATTAGAAATTTAGTCTATATTGGTTCATAGACTTAACCCTTTGAGTGCCGACGAGCGCCATCGCGCTCGTGCGCATTGCAACTAAAAGTGCCACGAGCGTCATAGCGCTCGTGAAATCAGTCGCTGTTTAGATTGCTGTAAAAAAATATATTAAAATTGGATAATTTTTGGAGGAGATGCAGTTTTTTTAGAGACAAGGGTAAATGACATCAATACGACAAAGATTTCTTTGGCATTTTTAATTAGATATGAGTAAAAAATCAATGGCACTAAAAGGGTTAAGTTATTACTGTAATATTAAACTGAAATTCAAATTTTAAATAGTACCACTGAGTCGATCCCAAATATGAAAATAGCATAGCAAGTTGCGTAAAAAATGAATTTTAAACAATTACAATACATTCTTAAACTAAGATTAGCGATTGTTGTTTGGAAAGGGTTAAAAAGAGGCCCATGCTTTTCGATTAAGTTCCATCTGTGATGCTGTGCTTTCTTTGATATTCAGTCGGAATCTTAAGTTCTTTTAAGCTTATTTTAGTTTCACTGACTTCCTGCAACAGACATAAAGTCGTTGCACCAGCTAAAGCTCTCCTGTCGGTGAATAACCAAATTAAAAAAAAAAACCTAAAAAAGCTTACTAATGTAATAAGCTCAGTAATAGGATTCATCCGGTTTAGGGGTTAACGTTCGACAGGTGGCGCATGGCGCCCGCGCAGCCGACCGAGAGGCGGGAATTGCGCATGCGTGGACATTAGACATGAATTTTTTATAGCACCATTACAATAACTACTTCCTA